CCCCCCCCCCCATATCTGTGCCTCAGGTGTCCCCTGTAAAATAGAGCTAGGACTGACCATCAAAGGTTTGGGCAGTTGGGGCATCCAGAGAATGGGTGCACTGTCTCCTGGAAACCCCCAAACCCCTAGGCCAAGTCGTGGTGGTCACTACCTGGGAGCTACCCACTCCCCAAATACTGAAGGTGCATCTGGCCTGGCTTCCCCACAAGGCCCAGCCTGAGCCCTCACTCCTTAGAGAGCCCTGCACAGGCCTTTCTCAAGCACAGTAGAACCAGCCTGAACTCTATTACCCCACACTTGTCACCCTGTGTCATGGCTCCTAGCATTTACCTTTCAGTTCATTTCACCCTCTAGAAGTACTGTCAGTGCCATAAGGGTGGGATCTGGATGGAAAGGGGACACAGTGGGATCAGCGAGGGTGGCAGGCTCCCAGGCCCATCCAACTCAGGGAGCCCAGACCCCTTTCTGGTGGCTAGCATTCCACCATCACGGCTTCTTCTGCCATCAGATGGAAGGGGAAACAGGCGTGGAGAGGTGGAGTTCCTGGCAGGACTGGACCTCCCAGGGGCAGGAGTTGCTCTAAGGGCCCCAGAGCTCACAGATAGAGACCAGTGCCTCTCAGATGGGCACTCAAAGCCAGCAGGGGCAGAAGCCTGTGGCACAGCTAGGCTACCAGTCTGGATCCCTACTCCGGGTGGCAGGTGGGCATATGCAGCACCCCCAGGGTCAAAGGGCGGTCCCCAGACACTCCTCTCCTTGGCTGAGGGGCACAGAGTCCTCCCCCCTCATTTGCTCCCTGCCCCACTCCCTCTGCCACAGAGGTGAGTGCTTGGGCCTGGAGGCCCAGCCATTCACAGTGGGAGGGTGTGTGGATCCTGGGGACCCTCACCTGTTCCACTGAGCACTGTGGGTCTCACACGTGGAGGGAACCAGATGGCCCTGTGTGCTGTACAAACTGAGGTTGCTCCCCACCTGTCCTTGGATGTCACAGATGCACTGGCCCTGACCCTCAGCCTGACAGCTTCCACCTGTCTTTTGCTTCTTTCAAATTTTGTAACCACGGCATGCTTTATATGATCAGAAAATAAATACAGTTTTAAACCACCAGGGAAAGCTTATGCAACATGGTGTCTGCACTTGCGATTCCCCTGACTTTCTCAGGGCCTGCTCCCTTACTCAGGCCTGTTTTCAGCCTCCCCTCCAACAGGTCATCAGTCAAATAGCAAAGAAACCAGGGAAATGTTGGCAGCTCATCTCTCAAATTAATAAAGAGCTTCTAGAAACCAGGAAGAAAGAGGTCAATACTCCTGTGTTCAGAGAAAAAGGAAACACGCCGTACTAAACTGCTCAATTCCATTCATAAGAATTTCATGGTTCATGGATCCATCTGGCACAAATCCAAGGGCCTGATTAGCTGCTGGGGAACACTCTGCCACAGGGCTCCTCCCCAGTTTCCTAAATCTCTCCCTGGGCAATTTTTGCTATCCCTCTCCTCACTAGAACATCAGCTCCCAAGGATAGGGTCCATGTGGGCCTCAGTCATACTCCAAGATGGCCCCACAATTGTCACATCCTGGGTCACACTTTTCTGCAAACTCTTATGGCAAATCAGGCTGGTCTGTGCAACTGGTGAAATGTGGCAGCGGTGATGGAGTACAACTTCTGAGGCTGGGTCACAAAGCTCACTGTGGCTTTGGCCTTTCTCTCCACTTGCTCTGGGGACACAGAGCAGAGCCCCACGTGGGGAGGAGGCGCCCAGCCATTGGCCAGCACCAGCTGGCCATGAGGGAGTGAATCCCATGGAAGTGGACCCCCGGTCCCAGTGAAGCCTTCAGATGAGACCACAGCCCCAGCCAGCCTCACCTCGGTTTCACAAGACACCCCAAGCTACAGTCAACCTGCCAAGCCTCACCCAAAACTGTGTAAGACTATAAATGATTATTGTTTTTGAGCCACTACATTTGGGAGCAGAGGCCTAGCTGAAGTCAGGGAGCAAGTCACATGATAGCTGGGGAAAGTATTCCAGAGGAAACATGCACACAGGAGCCCCAGGCGTGGATGAGCTCTCTGTGCTTGAGTGGCAGCCAGTGTGGATGGAGTGGAGTGAGCAAGGGGATAAAGTCAGGTGGCGAGGGGTGGGTCATGCAGGCAAGGAAGCCAGGAGCCCCTAGTCTGAGGGATATGAGCTGAGGGAACAGCGTGTAATCTGCTCTGATTTATGTT